AGGCCCTAAACGTCAGCCTCTCTGCTCCTATGATGCTGCTTGGCCTGCTGTGTTCATCCAGCCCTGCACTTCATTATTGGCCTGCCTGTTAGCCTTCAGTTACTCTTGAACAAGGACATCCAGGTTCTGATGGACACCAACTCAGTTTCCAAACTCTCATCACTTACAAAATAGTTTTTTTCTACCAAAGTGAATAATTTCACACAAGTTCACATTATACTCCATTTGTCACATTCTTCCCATTTACTCTAGTCTGTCCCAGTCTCCTTGAGGCCTCAATGAATCTTCCTCACAACTTGCATTCCCATCCAGTTTTGTGACAGAAGCAAATGTGGGACTGTTACAATTCATCCTATTATCCCACTACTGACAGCCTACTGGAAATAACCTGTTTATTCTCGATAGCTGCTTTCTGTATGTTAAGCCATTCTTAATCCATGCTAGTATAATACCCCCAATCAATGCACCCTAATTTTGTTTATTTTTGTTTTCCACTGGTTTAGCTTTATTAATGGTCCAATAAATATCCTCAAAAAAAAAACTAAACAGGTTCGTCAAACATCACTTCCCTTATTTAAATCCATGTTGACTCTGCCAAATTCAACCATTTGTTTCTAAAAGTCTTGTTTTCACATTATTTACACTTCTTCAGAACTGAAGAAGTCACACTAGACTCGAAACATTAACGCTATTTGTCTCTCCAATAATGCTACCAAACTGCCAAGTTTCTTCAGCATTTCGTGTTTATTCTTGGTCATCCTTTATGGGTTTTAAATTCCCCCCAACCTTCAAGCTTATCACATTTTTCTGGCACTCTCATAAGCAACTTCATTTAATCCATTGTAATCTTGAACTTCTTGTGTCAGACATGATTGATTCACCTTTCCCAGTGGGTGTTTGTACCTTAGCGGGATCTAGATCTGTTGTTGATTACACAGTACTTCTTTAAATATTCAGCACTGCCCATCTACCTTCAAATCTTGTATTTTTTTCAATCCATCAGTCAACATGCCCCTCAGTTTCCTTTGTTCAGATATAAGGCATAGCTCCAGAATGAATGACTTAATATTCAAACTTAATGCACTATTACGGTCACTACTGGGTGGAAGGGCAAAGTCCTAGCAAACGAGTTTGATTATATGACCAACGTCCTCCCTCTACAACAACACTAGCAAATCACCCGACCTTGCGAGAACATATTCTTCCCCTGCCCCTCCCTGGGAATCTCTCCTCATTGTAATAAATATGCATACTGTTGGCAATGGGGGCATGGCAAAGAAAACAAAGCCACAAACTAATTCAAGGCCAGTTCAATGCCATCAGTTGACGTTCGCATTACTGGCTTTTTAACTGTCAAGAGCTGAAATCTGCCTCAGTGCATTTTTGATGCATCACCTCCAATCTTGATAGGGATTTGGTCTACTTATCCTCTAACAACAAGGGATATTAGTTTACTCCTTCTACGCTCAAAGACTAGGAGCCACCACTGACCCAACAGATAATTGCCACATTAACGACTGTCTTTTTACTAAGAGTAGTTTTTGTTTGGCGTTCGCTTCACAATAAAATGACCCATGTCCCCGATTATACATTCTCTCAACACAACACTGAAGGCCAAAAACATGCTTCATTTAAAAGCAATATCTTTCCTCAAAGCAACACGTTAAGCATCCAAGACAAGAAAGAAAAAGTTACAATACCTATTGTGCCAGACTGTTTTACTTTGTACGAAGTGATACAGCACAGTGAACAGAAAAAACCCATCTTTCCAGTGGTATCCACATTTGCTATCATGTCGAAGTTCTTGCCCAAAGTTTTGCACCAAGCACAAGGAAGCACTTTAGTGTTTTTCTGAGGGAGGAATGGAGAAAAGACTTTGCGTTTCAAAATTGGCTATTCGTAAGTAATTAAGTTGATATGTCAATATTATTCTTTTTTTTTCAGCTCCATTAAAATAATTGTGCTGGTTCCCAAAGATGCATGCAATTGACATGTTTCAACTGGCCCTAAAAGAAAACTTGCTGAGAGAGGGTATATATTGTAGTTACCCCAATGGAAAATGTGGATATCCAGTATGGATGGTTTTGGAACTGAAGCAGATTCAATAATCATGTTTATTACTTTTTAAAACGGCGTAACTAGGTTAAAAACATTTAGGACTTCAGGCAAGGACGGGAGAGTGGAACTGAGTGGATAGATCATTGAAATTGTCAACACAGGAACACCAAATTAGGCTCATAGATGAAAAACACAGTCACTTTCACAGGAGAGAGAATAATTTTAAAAACATCTGCTTGGAAGAATACATATATGCATGGAAGACATAAGCTTAATTAATTGCATAATAAAAATAATTAGGTGTCCGTAAGAAAGACCTATTTGCTACACTGGAAATCAGCAAGCCTGTACCAGAGCATCCACTAAAGACAACAGGGTGAAACAACAAAGGGAAAACCAACCTAAATCTCACTCAGCTCAACATCTAAATAGCATCTGATGCGACCTGGCTACAAACTGCCAGCTCACCAGATTCGAAACATGACCAGGGACTCAAAACAACAGAATACTTCATTTTCCCTTATTTTTTGCTTAAGAAGGTGGAATGTGGACATGACTGGAAAGAAAGCATGACTTCAATCTACATTATACAGGAGCTAAAAAAGACTAAAATCACTTTTCAACATGAATTCAATACCTAAAAAAGCAATATCATGGAGCGCAAGGTTTAAAAAGGTGGACAATGGTGCAAACCTCAAAGGTTATCAAACCTTTGGTCAGATAAGTAGCTTTTTAAAGAGGATCTGAAAGAAGACAGAGATGATTGGAAGAAAATTCTATAAGCAAGGATTTCAAGCGACAGAAGGCACGACCACTCATGAGTTCATGTTGGGGAGTGTCAATGCACAACGAACAGTCATTTGAAGAAAGTTTTTCGCTTCGTCTGTGTTAGGGTGGGGATGTGTAATGGAGAGTTGGGTGTTGGGGCTCCAGGTGGCTGAAAAGGATAGGGAAAGGGGCATGATGAGAGCAGGATTCAAACACAAGGAGAAGAATGTTAAAAAACACATTGGTAGATTCAGACCCAGCGTAGGTCAGCAAACATGGGGTAAATGGTGGACAGAGCTTGTTGTCAGTTCAGAAAGGGGCAGAAGGGGATGATCTTAAGTATTGATTAATAAAGACAAAACTCACCCATACTGGTCAGTGAGTGAAAACAGTAACACAGCACTCTGGCCAGATTAGTGTGTAGTTGACTACTCTGACAAGCTCGAGAGAGAATATTGGAGAAAACTAATGGAATCACCGGAATAAAATTGATATTTTAGCATCCCAGTAATTCTGAACACTACTGTTGCTTTTGGATGCTTGGGTTCTTTAAACATGCTTGCATATTTAAGCTTTTCCGCAAATGAAAATAAGATTAATTTATTTGCTGTGTAAAAAGATGCACATATTCAAGACTATGTTAAACAATATGCCTGCAGTTTGATACACACCAGAACCCTCACATCAGGTATAATCAACTGCTGTTGATTACTTCCAGTTTAGGAATTTGTAATTAGGGTATAATAAAGAATAATCTTTATTAAAACTCAAGAACCAAAATTAAGTGTTTACCTTTCTCTTTGCAAATACTAATGAGCCTTTCTAACTTCTTTAATATAGGAATATGGAAAAATATTATGGCATTTTAGCCAACACTCCCATATCAATTGAGATCAAAACAGATTAGCTGGGAATTTGTTGCCACTTGTGACATTTGTTTCCACTGAAAAGAAACTGTAAAAAATGTTTTATAACATATCAATAAAACATATAGTGTCTTCCTTTCTGCAACTTGAAGTTGTTGGTTACTGACTTCCACTGAAGACTGGCAGTGGTCACTTGCTGGTCAAGTGCAAAAACAAATGCAGTACAGAAATATTGGAAAATAAGACTTGTTTAAAAGTTAAAGTGGATGTAAAAGCAGAGAAAATTCAGTATTAAATACAAGTTTACCTTTTTATACATATTCAAACAGCCTGTGTTACAGAACCTCCTCTGTTGTCCTTCATGATACAGGTACTGAAGCATAAATCCTCGGTTGTAAAAATAAACCCCACAATTATCACAACAGTTAGTTTTCAGGCCATTGCTTGCTCTGAACTTGCTGAAACAGGCATTGCTGCACAGCCGATGGACGACATTTCCATTACTCACTTCATGTAGAATCTAGAGGCAATACAATTAATAGTTTTATGCAACATTATTTTAATATGTAACATAACTTACGGGAGAAAGCAGTTGCACCCCAACTCCTTAATACATGCAGTCTCGAGCAGCACTTGCCATTCTTGAGCCTCGGAGTCTCTACATTTCTGACTCATTCAGGACAACTCCGATACTAAGTCAAGATTCTAGTGAGAATTTCATCTTTGAAAGTTATAAGAATGAGCAAAGCTGAAGAACTCATTTGACAGCCATTCAAAAGGGTTGTACTGCTGGACCACCCACATTCCTACTCTATCAGTGTTACCAACGATGGTGAAAAATTGAAAATTGTGACTGGCAAGCTGAAATTGACAGTATTTAGCATGAACAATCAATAGTAGACCCATAATATTCCTAAGTTATATTATGCTTCCAGCTGAGGCTTTTCATAGAATCCCTACAGTGTGGAAACAGGCCCTTCAGCCCAACAAGTCCACACTGACTCTCAGAGCATCCCACCCAGACCCATCTCCTAATCTACACATCCCTGAGCACCAAGGGCAATTTAGCACAGCCAATCCACCAGCCTGCACATCTTTGGATTGTGGGAGGAAACCCACACAGACATGGGGAGAATGTGCAAACTCTACACAGACAGTTGCCCGAGAGTGGAATCGAACCTGGGTCCCTGGCGCTGTGAGGCAGCAGTGCTAACCAATGAGCCACCATGCCACCTCTTTTCTCTACTTCTCTTTTGAAGTGGAGGGGTTACATTAGCTACCCTTCAATCTGCAGCAACTGTAACAGAATCTAAAAGACTCTTGGAAGATGAGCACCAATGCATCCACTATTTCTGGGGCCACTTAGAGTCACAGCACAGAAACAGAGCCTTTGGTCCAACTCGTCCATGCTGACTAGATATCCTAGATATTTCTAGTCCCATTTGCCAGCATTTGGCCCATATCCCTCTAAACCCTTCTGATTCATATACCCATTCAGATTGCATTGAGACAATTTAGATCCCAGGCTGAAATCTGGTTTGAAACATCATATTTTACTCTTTTTTTTGGTTTTAACGAGGTGGTCTCTCACTGAAACACAAGCACACAAGGCCACAGATTTGGTCTTACCAGTAAACAGATGTTTAATAATTGGAAGAAATGAAGACAAAATAAAACAAAACTGAACAATTTACATAACAACACTAAAAACTTCAAAACATGCAGCAAAATATTATTCCATTAAGCCAAAATCACCCCACCGAAATACCAGAGAATTCCCTTCTCTATCACACACAGGGTTTGATTTAGCTGGGACTTCAATTTCTGATCTCAAGAATCTGAATGCTCAATGCTTTATACAACTGACTTTCCCAATGCCACATCACACCTTTAGGGTTACAACTAAACACTTCTTGTCTGGAAGTTTTTACCTTAATGCTGGAACTTTATGTTATCTATTTCTTAACTGTTCTAAGCTTTCACCCTTTCTCAGGACCAACTGTTTTGCATATTCTGCTTCAGCAAAGACGCCTGCAAAAATGCCCAACTGAAAGTCAAAACTCTCTGCGGGCATTTCTCCCAACCAAAATTAAAAACAAAATGCATCTCTGATATTCTCAACTGGAAGCCTAATGCACACAATGGAAACAAACCCCCATTAGCCTCCAAGAACACACACAGCCTAAACAAATAGAGTACTTTGTGTCGGTTTTCACCAAAGAGAAGGAATTGGTGGAGGATGATCTCAGGGAAGGGAGTGTCGAGTTTCTAAGCCAAGTTGCCATTAAAAAAGGTTATGCATCTTAAGTAGTATTAAGGTAGGTAAATCCCCATGTCCTGATGTGATCTAGCCCAGATTACTGAGGGAGGCAAGAGAATAAATTTCTGGAGCACTGACAGACATCTTTGTATCCTCTTTGGCCACAGGTGAAGTCCCAGAGGACTGGAGAATAGTCAGTTGTTTCATTGTTTAATAAAAGAGCAGCAGGGATAATCCTGGAAATTACAGGCCTGAGAGTCTCACGTCAGTGACAGGGAAATTATTCTCAGGGACAAGATCTATACACATTTGGAAGCAAATGGACTTAGTAGCGATAGACAGTATAATTTTGTGCGGGGGAGGTCATGCGTCACTAACTTAATCGAGTTTTTTTGAGGAGGTGACGAAGATGATTGATGAGGGAAAAACGGTTGATATTGTCTACATGGACTTCAGTAAAGCATTTGACAAGGTCCCTCATTCCAGACTGGTACAAAAGGTGAAGTCACATGGTATCAGGGGTGACTGGCAAGATGGATACAGAACTGGCTTAGTCATAGCAGACAGAGGGTCACGGTCAAAGGATGCTTTGCCGAATGGAGGGCTGTGACTAGTGATGTTTCATAAGGATCAGTTCTGGGACCTCTGCTGTTCATGATCTACATAAATGAGTTGGAGGAAAGCATAGCTGGTCTAATTAAGTTAGCAGACGATACAAAGGTTGGTAGAGTTGCAGATGGTGAGGAGATTGTCAGAGGATACAGCTGGAGGCATAGGCAGAGAAATGGCAGATGTAGTTTAATTCAACAAACGTGGGGTGATGCATTTTGGAAGGTCAAGTACAGTGGAGATTATACAGTGAATGGCAGAACCCTTTGCAATATTGATATTCAGAGGGATCTGGGTGTGCAGGTCCACAGATCACTTAAGGTGGCAGTGCAGGTAGATAATGTAGCAAAAACAGGCCGATGGCATGCTTGCCTTCATTGGAAGGGGCACTGACTGTAAGAATAGACAAGTTATGCTGCAGCTTTATAGAACTTTAGTTAGGCCATACTTGGAATATTCTAGTCACCAAACTGCCAGAAGGATGTGGATGCTTTGGAGAGGGTACAGAAAAGGTTTGTCAGGATGTTGCCTGGTATGGGGGATTTTAGCTACGAAGAAAGACTGGGCTTGTTTTACAGGAGGTTGAGGGGCGACCTGATACAAGTTTATAAGATTGTGAATGGCATGGATAGAACAGAAAGAACAATGAGTCTTTTTCCCCCAGGGTGGAGGGGTAAATTACTCAGGGACACAGGTTCAAGGTGCGACAGGGGAAGTTTAAAAGAGATGTGCAAGGCACGTTTTTCCACACAAATGGCGGTGAGTGCCTGGAATGTGCTGCCAGAGGTGGTGGTGGAAGCAGACATAATAGCAGCATTCAAGAAGCACCTAGATGAATACTTGAACAGAAAGAAAATAGAGGGATATGGATCCTGTAAGTGAATACAGTTTTAGCTTGGAAGCACAAAATGTGGCAGCACAGGCTTGGAGGGCCGAAAGGCCTGTTCCGGCGCTGTATTGTTCTTTATTCTTCGTTGTTCTTACGTTTTCAGAGTATTTCTGAAAATGAAATGAGATGGCTACAGAAATACTTAGAAGTTAATCAGTGAACCCCCTTCAGAAACACCAACCAAAATCCATAGGTCACTAGCTCAAATCCAAATTCTTAAAAAAATGATAGTAAGATATATGTATATATTAATCACACGCCTTACACGAGTTACCATAACATTCCACAAGAAAACAGTTGGTATTATACACAAAGATCTTGAGATACAAGTAATGAGTCAAATTTTTAAATAACAGTAAACATAAGATTAATTACACATTCTGAGGTCACTTCTGCTATAGCAGACAACTTAATTAACGAGTTTGGGGCTCGAGTTCAGTAACGTCATAGGCCTTTTCAGTTGGATGCTGAACATCCCATGATGCTGTTTGAGGTCGGCACTATTGTGTGAACAAACATTCACAATGCTGTTACCGGCTAAATTATTAAAATGCATTTACTGAGGTTTATCTAAACATCCAAGTATCATATATTCTAAGTGAACACAATCAAGTATCAGTAGGTGAAAATATCCATCATAGAGGGTGCAATGACATAGATTACACTGTCCAATTCTAAGTTTCATTCAAACAAGCTGAAATATTAAGCAGGTAAATGGACACTCTAGCCCTTAATGACCTAACTACAAAAGTCTAAGCTAACAATGGCTTTGGTAGAGGGGAGGGCATAATATCACATAATACCTTCTGCCATGTTAAATGAAACTAATGTATGCAACATTTAACATACACTCTGCAGTCTAGGCTAACAGAAGAGGAAGAAGAAATGGGTGGGAAGGGGAGGGAAAAGGTGAAGTGAATACAGCCAAAATAAGTGAATTTTAATTCCAGCCCAACTTAGCATCCTTGTCGAATAACACATATGCAGAAAATCAAGCACCTGCTGGGGCCCTACTCAGCAAAGCCACTGAACAAGAAATTAATAGCCTGTTGGCAACAAGTTACATGCAGCTGTACACTATATTCTGCTTCCCAAAATGTTCAGTTTTGTTAGGACAGTAATATATTTGTTCCATTAGTTTTGCATCCTTTACTCCAGTGACTGTATTGGACTAGGTTGTATATGTTTGCAGGATACTGCATTACATGGCAATCTCATCATTGCCCAGTAGAAAATGAAAGAACTCATTTAAAATTATACACATTCAAATATCCTAGGACCAACTGCATGTGAATTACCATCTATTAGTCCACCATCTTGAGTGCCAGGTCCATAACAATATCTTAACTACTGGGAATTGTAATTTATATGCATTAGGAGGGGGGAGGGTGTTCTCCAGGAAGTCTAAAAAATTCTTCCAGGACTAGACTGGGTAAACACAAGAAATATGTTTCTGATGACCAGTGAGTCCAGAGTAGGGGTCACAGATTCAGGATACGGGTTAGGCCATATAGGATTGTGATATGGGGAAATTTCCTCACCAAGAGTCAAGAGTCATACAGCATGGAAACAGACCCTTCAGTCTAACTAGTTCACACTGACCATGTTACCAAACTAAACTAGTCTCACCTGCCTGTGTTTGGCCATATCCCTCCAAACCTTTCCTATTCACGTACTTATCCAAACGTCTTTTTAAATATTGTAACTTACCTGCATCCACGCACGAACGACTCTCTACCAAAGTGTGGCGAGCCTGTGGAATTCTACGCAACAGAAAGCAGTTGAGGCCAAAACATTGCATGTTTTCAAGGAGGAGTTAGACATAGGTTTTAGGCCTAAAGGGATCAATCGGTATGGCAAGAAACTGGAAATGAGGTACTGAATTGGTCAATCAGCCATAAATGTGGTATTGACAGAGCAGGTACAAATGGGTGGATGGCCTATTGCTGTCTAATTTTCTGTGTGTTCATGTTACAATGCGTAATTGAAGGAAAGACGATGAAAAGGATCACAGTCTTATATAATAAATTATTATACATTCTTGCACTACGACTTCATGCATCAAATATTACCTTCCTAAAAAACACATCCGTTTGGTCATTCTCACCTTTCCTTTTTTATTGCAGATACTGCATCTTGAGGATTCATCTGATGAAGCTGGTTTAAGCAGCTTGGCTTCATACAGTGATAAGCAAGTAGAGTTGCAGAATTCCTGGAAGGACTGACTTGAACCAGCCTGTGCCACCACCAATTCTTTTGTATTCAAGATATCCCTAAAAAAAAAGCAGAACACTTCATTCTTAGAAAGATTTTTCCTTTCTTTATAAGAATAATGGAACAGGAGTATAAACAATTAATTAACCTACAAGGTAAGGACATTATATCAGAATGGAATACTACTACGCATGGTTATGGAGATCCGAACTTGAGACTGGGATATAACAATTATTAATGATGCTGTTGTAATTGAAGCAGGAAGTTTTGCTGAAACAAACTGAGAAAGTATTGTACCAAAGGGTAAAAGAAAAACTGACAGTGGAAAAGATAAATAAATAAAAACAATGCTGTAAAATGGGCAACAGCTAGAAGGTAGAAAATTATGAAAAATAAAGTATCGGCATTTTAAGTATCATAATTGAATGGTATATTTATGAATACACAAAGCCGTCAAAACAGAACTAGAAAATCAGGGTTTTGGAGTTGGAGACAGCATAGATTTGCAAAAGAATAGGGATTAATATTGTTTCAGAGATAGTAGGAACTGCAGATGCTGGAGAATTTGAGATAACAAGGTGTAGAGCTGGATGAACACCAGAAGGGTCTAGGCCCGAAACGTCAGCCTTCCTGCTCCTCTGATGCTGCTTGGCCTGCAGTGTTCATCCAGCTCCATACCTTGTTATATCAGGGATTAATATTCCTGGTTACAACATTTTCAGAATAGGGAACAGACAAAAAAAGGGGGCAAGATGGCAGCATGATTGGAGAATTTTATCACACCCCAAGACAGGGAAATAACTAAATGTCAGGCATGGTGAAGTGTTGCACTCAAACGAAATCACTTTGATCTAAATTTAAAGATTAGAAAGTTTTATAAATCACAGACAGGATTGGAAAGAGAGATTTTCTGACTGACAATTACACAAATCTAACAGGACGCTAACAATGGATGATCAGTATGAATTGGAATAAAGATAAGTTGGTAATGTTTCTAAGCCTGCATTCAGAACTGTTTCTTTGGTAAGCATACTCCTTATCCTGTGGGGAAAGCACTACTTAGCCCTAGTGAAATGAATAGGACAAAAAAAGGGGGAATTTTGGGTTCCTTGTGCGAACTGAAGAAAAGATAAACCAAAAACATAAGGGCATTGAACAGAGGAAAGGAAAAAGTTCAACAGGACGTGGAATTTGGTCCAAACTAACAAGACTGAAAACGTGGCTCAAAATCAACAGACCAGCAGTGGAAAACCTTCATATCGGAAACTAATAGACAAATTAGTTCAAAATTAGAATACAAAGAAAAATAAGTCCATGGGTAGATCAAACCTCAACTAGAATTAAACATGGAGGCAAGGATAAAGTTAAGACTAGCAATACTGAAGATGATCATATCAAAGCTGCAGAGCCCTTATAATTTAGTCTGATTAGACTCACAATCAAGCTCACCTCTTTCCTTAGCAGCTACACAACATTATGATTGCCACTCATTGACCAAACTGAAGCCAAGTATATTCTGGTCAAAGTACTGCACAACTACATCATAATGAACATAAATCCCACTGTAGCTGTGCAGTTCAGTATTTTGTTTGCTTTGTTAGCTGCAGTTCTACAATGAACATATATAGTCAACATAGAATCGACTTTCACCTTGGATTGTTTTCAAACAGTGTAACATTTCCCACTTTTATTGTCAAGTGTACAAGAAATTGCACTTATGTAATAGAATTGCCTTAATTTTGTTAACAGCCTTTCATGTAAATCTTAGGGATTTTGAAAGTTTAGAAGGACTATCAAGATTTTCCAATATTAAATAAACAAGTCCCTTTTTAAAAATACGGTGATCTCACTAAGCAGTATCTACATTCTTCCTTTTTGTTGTGTTTTACTTAAAATATTTTGATTTTTCAAAAAGAAAAATTTTGTTGTCCAATGTCAGCAGTAACCTTCTTATCTGAAGAAGTGTGTTTCACGAGCACAATAAAAGTAGGATTGTACAAGCGCTTACACTTTCCTACTCCCAGACAACTCGAAAATCAGGAACATGTCTCATAAGCACAACACAGTGCAGGACTAAGCACCTGTCAAATTAAACATTCATGTAAAATAAATTCCCCTGACCCCCTCAACTAGTACTTCAGTTTCAATCTGATGTGGTGCTGAGCCATACAGTGCAAAAGACTGAGATCTCTAGACCCAATTCCCAAAAGTGAAAAATCAGCTAACTCGAGCTATCTACCACCTCTGGACTCAGAAGGTGAAACTAATCAGGATTCCTCACTTCTTTCTGTTTAATATTGCGACTAAAAATGAAAAGAGACTGTAGTACAAGATTAGCCCAAAACGGATATTGCAACACACTGAGGAAACTATCCAACACTTCTATGCATAGTTCAAAATTTATGCAAAAACAGAAAAGTTACTTGTTGCAAAATGTGCATATCTTGGTCGATGATGGCTTCTGAGAATAGTTTGATAGACATGTGGAAGAGCAGAAGAGCTGAGGTGCCCCTTTTCTCTGGTATGCAGTTTGTCCCTTTTGCAGGGGCTTTTTGCAGTTAGCACAAGTTACTTTTGCCAAGGATCGTGAAGGCCTTTGTGGACGAGGAGAATGGATTTGGGCTTCAGCTTGAGCCTGAGCCTGAGCTGCTTGTAGAGACAATCTGGTGGTCCGCCTTGGTCGCCGTGAAACATAATCTTCCTCCTTAATATTAACCATTGTGGTGGAACTATCCTTTACTGAAGGAAGAGAAAATAGAACAAAAGGGATAAATTACAATGGCACATAGCAGTTGCGTTTAATACTTCCTCAAGTAGCAATGGAGACCCATTCAGCAGCGCAATAGATTCAATGTTGCTGCTTCAAATTCAGCTAGCCGGACAAGATGAAAGTTTTCCAAATCTACTGCTTCTAAGGGTCTCTGAAAATGAGTCCGAGATATTGTACATTCTAAATTTCAATAAACAACATAGAAGACCCAACTAAAATCTGCAGTGAAGACACCAGGATGAGATAACGTACAAGGAGCTCTATTCATGTGGAGTTAATATTCATTATTCAAACAAAGCAAAGTTGATCTATTAATCCAACCTCTCAGTATGCTTCATGATCAACTGACTTTCTCAGAATGATATAAAATGTACAGCACAGAAACAGGCTTTTCAGTTCAATTGCTGCATAACCTAAGTCTCCTTCCAACAACTTAATCAATTGTTAAAATATCCTCTGTTCCCCATCTCATTCATTTATCCAACTGCCCCTTAAATTTATTTTGTTCAGCAAATTCAAGCCCTCAAAGTAATCAGTTCATTTTCTCTGTTTGAAACACAGGAACAGGAGTAGGCTATTCAGCCCATCAAGTGCGCTCTGCCATTTAATACAATCATGGCTGATCAAACACTTTTATATGTGATATCCCCATAACTGTTTAAGCATTTATAGCAAATCTCAGTCTCCACCTTAAAACATGCTCAAAGACTTAGCTTCATAGCCCTCCATGAGAACTCCAAAGGATCACAACCCTCTTGATTAAAAACACTTCTCCTCAGTCCTACGTGGTGTGCCCCTTATTTTTAAAGTCTGTCCATTGTTTCTAGACTACTGAACCAGGGGAAACATCTAATCTACATCGAACTTGTCTAACCCTTTAAGCATTCTGTACATTGCAATTGATTACCTCGCTCTCAATCTTCCAAACTCTTGAGAATACCCATTTTGCCCCATCTTTCTTTATAGGACAGTTGTGCCAATCCCTGGAACAAGTCTTGTACATTTGATGCAAGACTTCATTACTACATACTCAAATAATCTTGTGATAAAGGCTAACATTCCATTAGCTTTCTAAAGTAGCTTGCTGCATCTAAATTTCAGCTTTCATTGCACCATTGACAAGAATGTCCAGGTGCCTTTTCTTTTCCTGTATCTCTACTTTCCAACTGAAGAAATTGAGAAATATTTGTACATCTGATCCTCTCATTGCTCCACATTATATTCGATTGGCCATGTTCCTGCCTACTCACAAAGCCAGTCCAAATTCTACTGATGCAGATATACATCTTCCTTAACATACATTTCCACTTAGCTCTGCATGATCTATAAGTGTGGAAACATTACACTTGGTCTCCACCTTCAAATTGTCAATATATTTTGTGAACAGATGGGGCTCAAGTACTGATCCTTGTGGAACCCCACTTGCCACAGCTGCCAACATGAGAATGACATGCTTATCCCTCACCTCTATTTTCTGCCTGTTGATCAATCCATGTCAGCAAATTCTCTCTCATCCCACAAACTTTAATTCTGCTTATCAACTTCCTATGGGGACTATCAAAAAACTTCTGAAAATCTATGTATAAATATTATGCTCATCAGTTCCTTTTTATCAATTTTGTTAGTAAAACCCTCCAAAGATTTTAACAAGTTCACCAAGTCTGATTTCCCATTTGCACATCTGTGCGGACTATGCCCAACCCTCATTATTGTCCAAGTTTCTGCTTATCACTTATTCATAATAGCTCCTTATATTTTCCCTACTTCTCGTGTAAAACTAACAGAATTGAAGTTCCCTGTTTTCTCTCTCGTTCTTTTCTTAAATAGTGGGTGACATTTGCTCAATTTCAATGTGCAATTATCAGTCCACAATCTAAAGACTTTTCTAGGATGGTCACCAATATATCAATATCAGGTCCCAGTGACTCATCAGCTTTCATTAGCCCATGGAAGTGATACTGCTCAGTGACCTGCAATATTGTTTGTCTCTTCACAAATGGATAAAGGGTTTGTGCTGAGGCCCCAGTGGTGAAGGTTGGCTGTGCACCCTTAAACATTATTTTAACAAGGACCACACTCTTAAATACAGGTTGCCACTCCATGATTACACTTTAATGCAAAATTCCTTGATTTCAAGAAATAACTATAAACCATCATCTCTCTCCTCAACCCCTTCACCATAACTGGGGCTAGGCAACCATGCTGAAATTCATATAAGCGGGTGAACAGTATACATTATTATGGATTAGTTGAATTAGTTGAAAATATTCAATTGATACACTATGCAAAAAGTGGAGATAACACAGTCCTTAACCAAAAGAAGCAAGGCTAAAATTGAGACTATAATAAATAATTCACATATTAACATGCTAAATTATAGCCAATCTGAAGCTGGATGAAGCCATGCCAATAAGCAATATGCACATCATGAAATAAATAAGCACATCAGCTTCCTTATGCTTTCATACCACTACAAAATTTACATTGCAGACATCTCTATGAAGTGCAGGGTTGCTGTGTTGCTTGACACCCATGTCCTGAAAGGCTTGATAGCACATTTTCCTCTTAGTATTTGAGTGCAAAGATAACATTGGCACAGTAGAGAGAAGTTAGGCAGGGAGCAACAGAAGACATCCCAAAAAATATGCCTCTGCAATTGCAGGCATACAAACTTACAATAAGTTTTCCTTGATTCACTTTGCACAGGCAATCCCTTTGTACAAATGTAATCAGTAGAGTATCCACAATGTTGCACTCTCCTACATTTTCACTAGCACTAATTCAATCAATTTATTGACTATTTCATTCGGACTAAGCAAATAACACTATATTTGAACAATGTTACAACAGTCTACCTCCAGGCCAAAGCCCACGATTCATTATCCTATTTTAAGTCCTTGCCATGACCTTTTCAAGGGTTAACTTATCAAATGATTTTATGACAGGCCTCTTAAAGCCTTTCGTCTCTCATAATTCAACTAATCCATAATAATGCATACTGTTCACCCACTCATATGAATTTCAGCATGGTTGCCTAGCCCCAGTTCTTAAGGTACCAGTCTCCAGTTTTGACTTGTGACCTAAAAAATGTATCAATCGTTGCATGTATGTATAGCTCCTTCTCCTCCACACCCCAAACACACAATAAAAGGATGATCTTCTAGTCATTATCTAGTCAAAATCTCTTTCTAAACCACACTAGTTTTCTAAAACTCTTGTAATCTTCAAACATGTCTTTAAAAACATCCCTTACAATGTATATCATTGTCCTCTGCCTGCAATTACTTCAAAGTTGCTCGTATTCCAATCGCAAAATGTTCAATCTTTGAACATGTAGCAATGCACAAATGAACTGTTTCTCTTACCATTTGTTTTGTTAGATGATGAACAATTTTCTCTTTTTGAGGATCTTTGGACTGTTTCCTTAACCTCCTGCAAACAAATACAACATGCTCCATCATTATTGTGATATTACTTCATAAATAGTTGGAAATAAGAAATGTTTAAACTGCACTGAGCAGGTGAGCAAAGACAAAGTAAAACTTACCTTGTCCTTATCAGTTTTTTCAGCATTATCACTAGCTGCATCAGTTTGACAGGCAGACAACATTTCCACTTTAACTGAAACAAAAACAAGAACATTAGCTTTACGTTTCTCAATTTACAATTGATGGACAGATATTCTCATGACCACTCAATGATGCCATATTGAATTTGCAATTCAAATCTACTAATAAAGATAAGAGACAAAATGTCAGACGTCAAGTTCTGGATCCATCTACTTCAGGTTGGAAAGTAGAAAGATTGCACACATATTCTTTATAATCTCTTGGGAAAGAGACCGAGAAAGGGGGAGGGAGTGGTGAAGAGGCAGAGGGGTCACAGGGTGGGCTGGGGGAGGGGAGGACAGTGGTGTCACAAAGGTGGCTGGTTCCAAAAGAAGGGGATGGGAGAAAGGGAGAAGCAACAAGCCTCCTTCCTCTTCCACACCTGCAACCTCTATTGTAATTTACATTGATGATTTGGCATTGGGGACCCAAGTGTAGCGTGCCAGAGTTCGCAGATGACACTAAGGTGAGTGACATAACAAAGTGTGCAGCAAACACAGTCTAGAGAGGGACATAGATCGGTTAAAGTGAGTGGGCAAGGGTCATGTAGATGGATTACAATGTCGCTAAATGTGAGGACATCCATTTTGGTAGGAATAACAGCAAAATGTAACATTATTGAAATGTTGAAAAATTGCAGCATGTTGCTGTGCAGAGGGACCTGGGTGTCCCTGTGCATGAATCACAAAATGTTGATTTGCAGGTGCAGCGAGCAAATGGAATATTGTCCTTCATTGCTAGAGGGATGGAGTTTAAAACAGAGAGGTTATGCTGCAGTTAGAATGAGTACTGGTGAGGTCACACCTGAAGTACTGTGTACAGTTTTGGTCTCCTTACTTGAGAAAGGATGTACTGGCGCTGGATGGGGTGCAGAGGAGGTTGACTATGTTGATTCCAGAGTTGACAGGGTTGGTTTACGAGAGGAGATTGAGTAGACTGGGACTGTACTCACTTGAATTTAGAAGAATCAGGGGGACCTTATGGAAACATATAAAATAATCAAGTGAATAGATAAGATAGAAGCAGGGAGTTGTTTCTACTGGCAGGTGAAACTAGAACTAGGGGGCATAGCCTCAAATAAAAGGGGCAGCAGATTTAGGATTGAGTTGAGGAGGAACTTCTTCACCCAAGTTTCTTGCCCAGTGAAGCAGTTGAGGCTATTTCATTGAATGTTTTTAAGGCAATGATAAATTTTTCAACAGCCAAGGAATTAAGGGTGAGCAGGAAGGTAAGTGGAGCTGAGTCCACAAAAAGATCAGCCATGATCTTACTGAACGGCCGAGCGAGGGTGACAGGTCGAACGGTCAATATTAGCTCCTATGTGAAACCAGGACAGATTACTTAACAAATCTCCATACTTGTTAAGAACACACTTGGTTGACAAACTACACGACAGTCCCTTATTGATGTCAACATTAATTAACACTTTTTACTCTTGGATGCTTCTTAGTATCCCAAACAGCAAAAGAAAAGCTATCTAATTTGCTTATGTACTTGGCTCCCTTTATCCTTGGACTACTTTGAGTTTCTGGTGAAAGCATTCTAACATAACATTTTGACAGACATCATGCAACACCAATGTAACATTTCAAAAAAAAGTTACTCATATATATAGTAAAAAGTTATTAGCTTAAAAACAGTGAAAAATCAATTGCACCAAAACCTTTCAGAAGCCCCTTGTATGTTTTTGTGCCTCATTCTTGCTAGTGTTTGGTTGGCAGAGATGGCAGCAAGATTGGCAGGGTAAGATTGTTAAAAATGAGAGATGGAGAAGCTGAGCAAAAGTAGCGTATGATAGGGTACAAACTACAATTGTGTATCATTTTCACTTGCGATCAGCAACGTGACAATCACGAATGCCTGCTTCAAAGCAGATTAGCCCTCTTAGCCTTGCAATAGCATTTTTCTCAAAGGTGCAATAATGTGCATAAACTACAAGCTATTTTCAAGGTTGATGTGACTGCTCAATCCATCTGATACAATCATCAATAACTGAAGTTGATTACACAGTACCAGAGAATGAAGAAATCACATACAACCTCTCTTCCTACATCCACTTAAAGCTGGTTTAAACTACAAACATGGCTCATAGCAGTAAACAAGTGGCTACTGTTGGTTATGCAATAGGATTATAGCAAACACACATGATGTTCACATCCCAAGCACCTAATAGATCAAACCCTGAGATTCTTAAATTGATTGTTCTTTTCTGGATTTCCTTTCCTTCTTCACTTTCTCAGTGCTGTGCCAATGTGTTATTAAAAATGTCAAAAGATGGTGGCAAGATGGTTCAGCCACCATTTACTTCACTGAGCTTCTAACATCACTACTTCCTGGGAAATACATCCAATGCAGTGGAAGGCAACTGCAATTTGCTGCCCCATGCCAAAACAAGCCTGTCAAAATTACACAACTCTCTTTCTCTTTCCCACTACCCACACACCCCCACCCCAACCCATGCACATGGAAGGGGTTTCTAAATGGTAATTAAGGATACAAATTTATTGGGGTGCATCAGATGGGATGAGGCTCTAACAGATTTATTCAACCAAATGCTGTATGAATGCAAAACAGCAAGCAATCAGCTCCTCCCAGAGCCATACATTTAAACAATACAATATGACACTGAGCCATCCTAGCTAGTAGATCCAAGGTTTGATATTTTGTTTTTGTCAAATTAACCTAACCTTGAATACTAGTAAAGGCACCCCAAATCTCTAGAGACCCTTACAAAGAGCAACTTTGCTCTCCAATACGGACTTCAATTTGGTACCTCTTACTAGCAGCAAAAGTAGAGTTGCTGTTCTAGAACTATAGGGGGAGAAAAAAAAAAAGCCCAAATCAATTTTATGTACACTCATACAAGTTGGACCAAAATAGACAAACTATGAAAAGGCTGTTACCATGAGTGGAACTATACTTTTGCAATTAAATAGCACCTTCAGAAGGGCGTAAAGGAAAATTTGAATGAAAGATCATGGGAACTTGGGAAGACAGAGAGAAAATAAATTGATCAGTTTTAAAAATCCTCCTCACCTATTTCTTGGGTATAGGAGACAATGCAATTTACAAATGTTTACTTTCACAAGATTCTGCAATCAACTACCCTGAAAAGAAATTAAGTTGTGGTGGTATTAAATTTTATATTAATATTAACTTTTTGCTTTATAGGAATGTCTTGACTGCAGCCCTGGCAAAAAAAAATGAAATGGACATAGCAGACCTAGTTCATAAAATTGAAGTAATGCAGGCACAGTGCATTGTAATGGAAGAACATCTAATCAATAGTGACCGAAATATAATTACTTATAAGTTTGTACTAATGGAAATGAATAAAGAAAAAACAATGAAAATACTCAAATGGCGAAAAGTCTATTTGAGCTATTTGGTGGGGATCCGGATGGACCAGAAACAAAAGACTGGCCAGAAAAGCAGTAAGTGAACAACCAGGTACAAACATGCGCCTTTGCATATGGAGGAAAGATGGAGCATTCAAATCGGAGCTTCCTAAAAAAGGTTAAAATAAAAATGAACCAAGATATGTCACAAGTGCCTGGAACTGGATACAGATGAAAACTGGCAGTGCACAGAAAGTACAAGGAGGGATATATGGGGAGATTATGAGAAAATAAAAATTACTGACCGGTAAAAATACAACTCAAATATCTTTCATCAACATATCAAAAGCAAAAAGATAGCTGATAAGAACAGATAAGAAAACCATTCTATTCAGGCAAAAGTAAACAGAAACTTTACATGTCTTCACAAAAGAAGCTGAAGTTATTGTTGCTACACAGAACTAGAATAAAGTTGTACGATAAGACAAAAACAGATGAGAGAGATGCTATCAAATTGAGTATCAAAGTTAACAAATAGAATGGATGCTAGATTGTTCAGAGGTTTCAGCAGAGACAGTCAAAATCTTTCAATCCTCCTTCATTACTGAAGTAATGCCAAAGAATCGGAGGACTGCAAGTGTGACATTTCTGTTCAAAAAAGGTTTTGGGGGCACGTGGGAAGTGGGAGACTTGGGGAAGAGATGGAATAAACCTAATTACTATGGAAAAATCAAACAAACACCAATGATTGGGAAAGCCAAAGAAAATCTAAATTGTTGAAGCTAAGACAATAAAGGGACAGATGGCACAGTTCCGTAACTCAGTGAGTTGTTCCTAACTAACTTGGTGAAGTTCTTTCATGAAGGAACAACGTGCCTATGAAGGCAGTACAAAAAAATACTACTTACGAGCAGACTTAAGTATAGCAACTACAACTTTGATATTTTACAGATCAGTCCAAAATTGGCAACATGGTCAGTTGGATAATTGTCAACCTCAGGAGTATAGACAGATGGCTGAAATGGACAGATATGTGACACATGCAATTTAACCGGGATAAGTATTAAGTGTTGTACTTTAGAAAAATCATGGAGACGCTGTACAATCTGAATTGTGCAATTTTGAGGAGGTTGGAAGAATAAATATGTCTGGTGACTGTCTCATTGGCTGCTGCTTTTGCAAACTCAACCTCTCAGCAATGGCCAATTCACACACAGAAGCTGTGCTTCAGCAACCACCAGCATCAAAGGAAGAGCAATGCTCGAGTCCAGATATATGGGTGAAAGTCCTTCTAACAGCAGCCAGTCAGCCTTCTACCCAATAACCTAGATTGACACGCTTATCAAATTACTATTATTATTGTACACTGTTGGAGTGCTAACAAGAAATGGGGGGTTTCGGAAGAGATCTGTCCTCTTCAACCTTAGGTACAACTGAGCTATGGTCTTGTTCCTCGAGGAGTAAACTCCATGTCAGTCTCATACATGTACAGTAAACTCAAGTATAATAGGCCAAAATAGTTGATAGTTCAAATAAAACAACTATCAAAGATAGTCCTGGGAAATTCTTTTGATTGTCACAGTCATTTTGCAGCCGCTATGAGAATATTGTGTTGACCAACTGAAACATTCTGAACAAGAGATGGAGAGGTTTCTGAATCATATATTACTGCCTCTGTTTCAAAAAATATACTGAGGAGAGGTAAAGGTGGTACGCTATTTGTTAAATAAAAACCGAAAGAACTGCAGATGCTGTAAATCAGAAACAAGAACAGAAATTGCTGGAATAGCTCAGCAGGTCTAGCAGCATCTGTGGAGAGAAATCAGAATTAACGTTTCGGGTCGAGTGACCCTTCCTCAGAACTGACACTCTTGACACCCGTTCTGAGGAAGGGTCACTTGACCCAAAATGTTAACTCTGATTTCTCTCCACAGATGCTGCCAGACCTGATGAGCTATTCCAGCAATTTCTGTTTTTGACACTTTGCCAAATTATGTAAGGTTTAACAATCATTTCTTCTGATTCACGGTCCGACACAAGATAGAAGACATATAAGTGACAGGCAGGATACGCTGGGACTTTTTTCACTGGAGCATCAGACGCTGAGGGGTGACTTTATAGGGGTTCGTGAGGGGCATGGATTGGGTAAATAGCCAAGGCATTTTTCCTAGGTTGGGGGTGTGAAAAACTAGACGGCATAGGTTTAAGGTGAGTGGGGAAAGAATTAAAGACCTGAGGGGTAACTTTTTCCACACAGAGGGTGGTGCATGTATAGAACGACCTGCCAAAGGAAGTAGTGGAAGCAGGTACAATTATAACATTAAAAAGACATCCGGATGGGAATATGAACAGGAAGGGTTTAGAGGGATAAGTCAAATGATGACAAATGGGACTAGGTCAGATTGGGATGTCTGGTTGGCATGGACAAATTGGACCCAAGACAAATTGTTTCCAAGCTGTACAACTCTAGAAATTCCCAGTAACCGATGGTAATAAGTTTTATTTGCTGTAGATTTCTTTTTAGACTGTATTCCATTACATATTTTAAGTTTAATTATTCATAGCTTCAGTGCCATACCATCTGAAAATATTTTACTGAAATCAGTAGAATTTTTTGAAGTATGTATTCAACGAAGAACTATAGGTTGCAGCCAACAATTTCTCTTCAAGAATGTGTCTGGGCTTCTGCCCTCATCTATCTTAGCGCAGAATGGAACCTACGTTTCCCCAGTCAGGATCTGGCAAGATGTGGAAAGGTGTTGATGGAAGCAGAAATGTGAAGATTGATCAGCTGCTGGCAGGAAGTGCTCTTTTGGTGCCAGCAGCTGTTGAAGTGCAGTTTCCATGTGTGTATTGGCTGCTCCTTGAGAAGACAGACTACCAGCTGCTAGCAGGGCCAACATCAGCCCAAATGCTTGATTTTTAAAACAAAAAACAAAGGAAGGCAAGAACAGCACTAAGTCATCCTAGCTGGGAGGACAGGTGGGAGCAGAGTCACTTGGAAGCAATTAAACTTAGGATGGGGATGAAATCTAAAATGATATGGGAGGGATAAAAAGAACTGGAACGTATAACATAAGAAAGCTAGAATTGCGTGGAATGGAAACTGAATCTGCAGCAAATGTTTTGTGGATCACTACCTGAATTTGCATATTCATGGTTGGGAAGCAGGTTAGAAGCGAGGTATTATGTTTTCAACACAAAAAATTGAAGGCTGCTGTCAATGTTGTCCACCAAATGCAACCACCTGCTGAGGGGGTTCATATTTTTAGTTACAAGATGTCAATTTCCCCCATCCCTACTGACCAACTAAAAAGGTGGATTAAATAACCCAAATGAAATTCCACGAATTCACCTTCTCTACCCCACCTTTTTTCTTTCCACCTCGAGCCCTTCCTTCCCAAATAATGCATATTTGTACAGATTTTAAGAGATATCCATGAATCTTATTGGTCAAAGAAAACAAAGGCAGAAAATTATTTTAAACCTACAAATGCGGATAGCAAACTGCTTTTTTGAACTTAGTCTATGGGTGAATTAATATGGATTTTTTTTTCCAGTTCACTAATCAGACACATGATTCTTAATTGAAACAAACTGCTTTCATCAGAATAATTTCTTGATTTGTGCTGTTCAATAAACACTTGAATAACCAAACTTTGAAAAGAGGCAGAGCAAATGAAAAACTAAGATTAAGTACCATGTTTACCTTCCAACCTATCACAAACAGCTGTGAATGCCAATTTTAAAAATGAAAAGGTGCTTACCTTTAACAGTTTCTGGTGAAGTTACCACACTGGGAGTTATCTTTGGCGAAGTCTCACAGGTGTCACTTTCTTTGCCCTCTGACTCACTGCCTTGTGCGTCACCCTTTCTGGTTATTTTTGCGCCCTCAGGATCCTCCACAGTCTTTACATCACATATCACCTCTATCTCTTCCTCCTCTGGCACTGGTGTTCTACCACCTTGATCATCGGAGAGTGGCTGTGGGCAGTTATCTGTCTTAAGATCAACCTCTTCCACATTTGGCTCAGTTCCTGAATTTCCTTCTTGAGCCGCAACATCCACAGGTCCACCAGTTTGGCGTGCTGATTCGGTGACTTCTGTTTTTGTTATTGTGTTCACATGCTCAGGTTGGTCATGAGAAGAATCTAAGGCAATGTTATTCTCAGTGTCCTCTTTCATATTGACCGTATCTTTGTTGCACGTAGACTCCACCGACTGTAACAAATAGTCCATAGTGCTCCCCTCATCATCTGCTCTGCAAGGATCATTCAGTCTGTACACTGAAGGTCCAGTGTGTCCTTCCCCTGAAGGGGAGTCATTATAAAATGCCCCCAACTCTCTTCTTTCACCATTTCCTTCACTGAAACTTTTTGGTTTAATCCATACCTCATTGCCTCCGTCAGTATTCAACTTTACTGTGACTTGCTCATTAACAGGCGGTGTCTTAAGGGAACCTGTTTCGTCAGTAATAGAACTCTGTTCCTTTTCTGAACAGGACTCTGATGCATCGAGTGAAATATTCATATCCAAGGAAGTAGAGATATCACTGCTTTTATTTGGAGCATTTTCGTTAGGAAGACAGTTTGTAGATTCTGCAACATTGCTAGCATCCATGTTCAGACAGAATATAAACTGTGGGGAAAACGGAGAAAGAAAAAGCCAGTTAGGCTCAAGCTCATTGTAAAAAGTAAAAGGGAGTTACATAATGGACAGCATACAGTTGTACACCCCAGAAAACATACCAATGGCAAATCTTTAGCATGTGACATAGTGAATAAGTGTTTCACAAACAATGTCAAAACAAATTAAACAACCGAACTAATCCCTTTTAAAAAATAATTTTCAGTTTAGCCTAGGGCAAGGCTATAGGACTAGTTCACAGCCAATCTCAATACCTCACCAAAGCGAAGATCATTAGCTAGGGCAGACTGTTCAACTGCAAGACACATGGCCACCAAACTAGACTACTCTCATTCAATACCCAAACAAGTGTACTTCCTAGTATTTCTGGACCCCCATCCCCACCTTGGAATTAATCCAAAGCCATTAGTGACAACTTCATCATCCAAACCAAAACAACGTACGTCAGGTACTCACAGAACTTCTCGTCAGTGCACTTCAGTACTATCACATGTGCTCATTGAGCAATTGGAAAAGCCGCAATTATTATTTCCCCATAAATATACGGCAGATGCACTAACTGCTAACCCTTCAACACAACCCATGCGTACCAACAACTTCAAAAGAGACTTTCTGTCAGTGTACGATGAACCAAAATGGTACGTGACTTTCATCTTCCCACCATCAAGTGAAAAGACTAACTTAAGATGAAAGAAACAGAATTAATATAGAGTCCAGTAATGACTCTTCTTCAGAATCAGATCTTTTTCAGGACTGACATAGCCATAATGGGCTAAGTTCCCCAGGTTCAAATTGCTGTGAACTGAAGCCAGATAACTTGAAGACGACTATTTGTTTTTAAATACAGTCATAGCATGTGGACATTACTGGCTCAGCCAACACTTTTTGTCCATCCCTTATTTCCCTCAACAAGGTGGTGGTGAGTTACCTTCTTGAACTGCAGTTTTTGGAGAATACCCCCACCCCAAAGTACTGTTTGTCAGGAAATTCCACGAGTTTGACCAAGTGACAGCGGAGAGGAACATGCAGGTGGTAACAATCTCAATTATCTGGTGGCCTGTTCTTTGAGGTGCACTGGTGATGAAAATAATAAATGTTGGAGGTGTCAATCAAGCACATCATTTTGTCCTGTGTGTTCATCTTCTTGAGCATTGTTGCAGCTGCACCCATCCAAGCAAGTGCAGAGTATTCCATCATATTCCTGATTTGTTCTTTGCAGATGGTGGATTCCCAGTCTCCAATCTGCTCTCAGACATAGTTATTTGGTTTTATTCTTTTATATGCTAGTCCTTTTCAATTTCTAGTCAATGGCAACTCCTAGGATATCGATAGTCGGGGATTCATAAATGGTACTGTCACTAAATGTCAACAAGTTATGGTTGGATTTTCTCTTAAATCAAGATATTCATTGCCTGACATATGTATCTTTCAAATGTTACTTGCCACTTACCAACCCTAAGTAGAAAGTTGTTCAGGTTTTGCTACATTTGAATATATACCGCTTCAGTAACATAAAGATGCACAACATTCAAAATTCCTGACACCAATGAACATCCCCAACTTACGATGAAGAAAAAAAATCACTGGTAAAGCAGCTGATGACGGTGGAACCTAGGACACTGCCAGAGGAAAGATATCCTGTAACTGGGATAACTGACCTCCAACAACCACAACACCCCTCCTTTGCACTTGATCTATCATCAGTGAACAGTCCCCACAATCTCTTTGGCTCCACTTTTTGCATGGGCTTGATACCACATACTGCCTTCCTGATCAAAGCATTTGACAGTCACTCCCACTCCCCACTTTGAGCTGAGTTGTTTTGTCTGCTTTCAGACCAAGGATATTTAGAGGTCAGCAGCTGAATGGGCATTAGCTGTAAGCTACAGAGACACTCGGAAACCCCGTGCACACTCGTTCATCCTCCACGATGACTTCCATTTTTGTTTACATGTACCATATGCAGAACTCAAAGGTCCACACCAGAAGAACAAAAATTGCTTATCACAACCAAAACAGAGCACCTTGACAAAAACCTCACATCACTTTGCTGATGATTCAGTGTAAATTGATGGGTGGAGTAGAGTCTGCTCTCAGCCATAGGGACTCATCATTGTTTCAGTTAAGATTTACATCTACTTTACACACACCTCTCTCCTTTACTACCATTATCATAGTGTTTGTCTTTTGCTCTCAGCTACAGCATTAGAAATATCATTTTCAGCTGCTTTCAGTTCTCAAAACTTTAACAATTTCTCCCTTCACAAATGTTGCCAGGCCTGAGTTTTTCCAGCACTTTTATTTCAGATTCCTAGCTTTCACACCATTTTGCTTTAATTAGCATTTGTCCTACTTGTTGCACACAGGAGATACCTGGACAATTTTCCACTTTGCCTGTGTCATAACTGTACTAAAACTGCTTGGCTAGGGATACAACTAATCCCAGAGCACAATTCTTTAGCACTATTGCCAGAATCTTGTAGTGCACATAGTCTTTGCAATATCCAGTGTTTTCAGCAGTTTCTTGAACACACACGGAGTAAATCAAATTGGGGAGGTCTGGCATCTGTGATCCTGCAGACTTCTGCAGGATGCCAAAACGATCATCCACTTAGCCCTCTTGGCTGAAAATGTTTGCAAATGCTTCAAAGCTTTTTTTGAAAAAATAAGATATTTATGTGCTGGCCTCCTCGATCGATGAGGATGAGGATGAGGATATTTGTAGATCCTCTTTCTCCAGTGAGTCATTTAATTGTCCATCACTATTCACAAGCTAATATGGCAGGTTTGCAGAGCTTACGTCTTAACCATTGATTGCGTGATAGAGGAGCTCAGTTTCTCATATGCTGTTTGGCATGCAAGTAGCCTTGTGTTCGAGGTTCATCAGGTTGACATCTCATTTTTAGGTCTGCCTTGTGCTGCTCTTGGCATGCCCAACTGTATTGAATGAAGGTTGATCTTGTTAATGGTATAGTGGGGAATGCTCTGGGCCAAATTTGCGCTTGAATGCATTTCTGATATTGACGATGGCCCACAGCCGTTTTTGACTTGCTCATGGTCTGATGGAATCTATCCCAGTTAGTACAATTCTAACACCAAATGTGATGGTAAATAAAAACCGAAAGAACTGTGGATGCTGTAAATCTGGAACAAAAACAAAGTTGCTGGAAAAGCTCGGCAGTTCTGGCAGCATCTGTGAAGGAGAAAACAGACTTCTGAAGAAGCGTCACCAGACCCGAAACATTAACTCTCTTTTTTTCCTTCACAGATGCTGCCAGACCTGCTGAGCTTTTCCAGCAACTTTGTTTTTGTACCAAATGTGATGGAATGTACTTCAAAGTGAAGGCAGGACTTAGTCTCCACAAACACTATGCAGTGGTCACTCTTACCAATAATGTCACAAACAAATGCATCCGCTATAGGTAGACTGGTGAGGACAAGGTCAAGTATGCAGGAGGTGAGATCAGCTAGTTCACCGATGACACAAAAAAATTGGTGATGTGATAAATAGTGAGGAGGAAAGCTTTAGACTACTGGAAGATATACAAACGGCCCAGATGGCAGAACAGTGGCAGATGAAGTTTAATCCTGATAAGTGTGCAGTGATACGTTTTGACATGACCAATAAGGTAAAGGAGTGAATGATGGTGAATGGTATGATCCTTAATAGTATTCAGGATTAGCAAATACGTAGGCCTTTGAAAGCAGAGGACAAGTGGATAGGGGGGTTAAGGCAGTATCGGGGACACTTGCCTTTACTAATTGAGGCATCAAATCTAATAGCTTGGAGGTTATGGTGGAACTGTACAGGGTGATGTCTAGGGTACAGGTGGATGGAGTACAATGGGAAACCCTTAACATCACACTATGAGATGGATGTGATTCCACTGAAGAGGGGACAGAGGATATTCACCTGGATATTGCCTCGCCTGTATTGTTTCAGCTATAAAAAGGGAGTCTGGAGAGGGTGGGGTGGTTTTCTTCAGAGTAGAGAAGGCTGAAGGGGCACCTGATTGGAGGTGTACAAATAATTATAAGGAGCATACATAGAAAGAAATGTTTTCCCTTACTGGAAGGAACAATTACTGGGGGCAAAGATTTAAGGTAACAGCCAAAAGATGTTTCCATACTATGATACTCGATGACTCTGAACTTACGTCTTTTCTCTTGCTGGTTCCCTCACTGCCTGCCATGGGGACATCTAGTAGGTACATCTTTGGCCAGCACAAGCCACTCTTGCCTCACCTAGTATACTGTACACTTTTCACCATCCCCTACATGTTCATCTTAGCACCAAATTCACAAGCTGAGAGGAGATTCTACACTGTAATCAGCACAAGATTTCCACGTTTGAGCTGATGCCATGAGTCTTCATGGAGTCTGAAATCAATATTGAGGACTGTTTTGGCATCTCCATCACAACCCATGTAGTCAATTTCATGTGCTCTCAAATAGGTTCCACAAGGTTTCCAGATAAGTATAGTAGGTCAGATATACTAAAGTTAACACTGCATACGGGCAAATGCAATTTAACAGGTTTGTGGCAAAATGTATGTATCTTTTTGAAGGTCAAAATATTGGATTCACACTACATACCAATGACATTCTACACTACGAATGAAACTTATTATAATGGTGCAGGGATCTCATTTTCCCCAAGACAAGCAATGCTGTTTCCGAAGAAAGTAGGCAGAACTGCAGAAGATGAGCTCCTAAAAATTTAAACAAGTCCAGTACTCGTACAAAAATTGACAAGGGAAAACAGCAGCTCTGCAGATACAGAAATTTCACCTAGAATGTGAGGCCACCAGTATCATGGAAAAAATTGTGGGTGTGCGAATTGCAAACAGCACAAACTACACAAAAAAAGGAAAACGGAGTTATTAAATGTACTCAACATCCAACTAAAATCCATTCAACAATAAACCTGCGTAATTCACCGTCGAGTGAAATCTTTGTCAATACAGTAAAGATGGCTGTGGTTTATG